ACAAAATCCACAAATAAAAATAAAACAAGCACACTATAAAGAAAGCACACATGTTCTGACATACAAGAAACAAAGCAAATCCAACTTTCAGTTCTTATTCTTAAACTTTTGTCTAGTCAATTTCTTGTTAGGAGAGGATGCGTTACTAACCCCTGGTTCGTGCGTTTTAGGTTGACAAGTAGTGTTTTGAGATGATGTCTTTTTTTCCTTTTTTTGGTGAAACCAACCTTCTTCTCAATAGCTTCTATCCTTTCAGACATATGCTTAATCTCCTTAAGGCACGTCCAAAACCCTTCCCTCATGGCATAAAGTACCTCTTTCAAAGAATCATTGAACATTCTTTTAATATCATATTTGGTCATCCCACCAACAGCCGTAGTCACCCTGTAGGAACCTCTTCATGTGCTTCTGTAGGTGCCTCTTCACTAGCTTTACGAGCTTTCTTCCAAGGTCTTGGACTGTATTCCTTCACCACGACTATCTCTTTCTTTGGAGTCACAACCGCCGGCTTTGTATTGACCCAAGTACCGGTGACTTCCCAGCAATCCATGCTCCACTTCCATAGTCTCTATTTAAACATGACTTTAATTATGCTCTCTGCGGCCTGGTCCTTAACATCAGAGTCCCATTGTGGAAACATTTCACCACTATCCTTCTAAACAAAATTGATCACTGTAGTCTGCAGTAAATAGAAGATATGAACTTAGATATTTGACGGATTAAGAAAGATGGAAAGAAAAGACCGCATAAGGCTTATAATTAAGTCGTCTATAAAGTCTTCCAGCTAGACGACTTAGTAAAAGACTTATAATTAAGTAGTCTGGATAGTCTTCCCAGGCGTCTTAATTATAAATCTTCTACTAAGTCATCCAGCTGAACGACTTTCCAGACGACTTAATTATAAATCTTCTACTAAGTCATATAGTTGGAAGACTCTTTCCAGACGACTTAATCATAAGTTTTCTGCGAAGTCTTTTGGATTGAAGTAAATACATGTCTTTCGATAGCTTCTTTAAAGCATATGCGTCCTTTGCCACCCTTGTAAGTTAGTATCGGTGGAGACGGTCTATTTGGTATGGGATTACCATAACTAGCACCCAATTCCAGTAGCACTGTGTACACCCAGACCTAGAGAGCTTGTATAAACTCATCAACAATGGGACAACTTGAAATATATTTGCCTTTCACAGAGACCATCAGCACCTTAACCGCGACTCTCCCCCATGGATAATTTTTAAACCGTTCTAAATCCATCACTAGCATTGCCAGACTAACCCGTGTAGGGGTTGAATACTTTCTCCCTTCAATGCATCCAGTGAAGATGGAAAGGTACCTGAGCCGCTTGCGATCATCCCGAGACCACCCTTCGCATCTCTCAAATGCTACTATTATCTGCTGAGTAATTGGCACAGCTTCGACATGAACTCCTAACATCTCCCAGAAAGAATCCACCTACTTTGTAACAACACAGTTCGGTCTCTCAAGGTCCTCGATGTACTCGCAGTTTAGACCAGTGAGGTTTTCAAACTCTAACAGTGAAAACCTCAAAGGTTGTGGGCCAACGAGACTCCACAGCCATACTTCTTCTTTATGTCGAGCTGGAAACCGAGCATGTAGTGAACCAGCCTTGAAGCTTAACCAAATCCCATCTCTTTGAACTTGATGAAAACTCCCAACTTTTCGCTCCTTCAGCTCTTCATATTCGTCATCATGAAGATGATTTCTTAAAGCAGTATGCAACTTCAAACAATCCGTATGATACAAAATGATATTCATTACGGTCCCCTACTGTATGTACTCTACGGGAGAGTTCTGGAATATCCATTTTTTTGTCTGCAAAACAATGAAAGACAACCATCCAGTAGAACATTTTAATTTCAAGTCTGGAAGACTTTTCTGACGACTTAATTATATGTCTTCCAAGAATTCCAGTAGAACATTTTAAAGCCAACCTGAAAATTCAGAGAAGATATAGTCGCCTTCGACACAGCCGTTAGAGATCTGCAAAAATAGATGTGAAAAAAGAAGCACAGTGAGAACGAAGGTGAGAACGAGTATAGATACATCTTAAGTCATAAATTGATAGACACAACGTTTGTGTTCATCGTTTCCTCAATCAATCACTCGATAGTAAGAGATATAACTTACCTCTGAGAGAAATGGCGCTAGGGTTTACAGAGAAGCGGTGGTGCGAACGAGATGCGAAACAGTGCAAGGTTTACAGAGAAATGGTGCTAGGGTTTCTCTCAGATCTGAAATAGAGGAAGCGCGGTGAGAACGATGGATTACAGAGAATCGACAGATGTCGCTTTTGAGAGAAACGGCGTTAGGGTTTTCTAAATTTTGCAAAAATGTGAGAACAAAAAACATCTTATATATGTCCGGTAAATAATCCGGTTAGGTTTAAAAGTACATTAGTAAAATTAAAGGTTCGGTCCGGTTTGGACGACTTATTATTAAGTCGTCTGTTGAATACTATATATCAGATGACGTACTTGACTTACTAGTAAGTCGTCTGCCGCAAATATATTCACCAGACGACTTAATAGTAAGTCGTCCAGACCCTAAACCCTAAACTAATTTGACTAAATTAACTAACTAACCACGTTATAAAATCAAATTATACTTAAACAGTGTTTACAATACACAGAAATAAACACACTTTAGTAAATTTAAAATTTTTCAAAAAAACATTTATTCTTTCGAAAATCTAACCCTAAGAACACATACAATACTACAACATATGTCGACAAAAGCTAAACTAAAGAATATCATGACTCACTACTTTCACTCATCTAAGTTGAAAACAATTAAATTTTGTTATATCTTAATTTAAATCTCTCAAAACATATGTTAATTACATATTTCAATTTTTCACTTATCAAAATATTTTTTACAAAAAAATTAAATTATTTTTAAGAAGAACTATACTAGACGACTTTTAAGTAGTCGTCCAGACGACTTAATTGAAAGTCATCTGGACATAATACTTGCGGGGGTTAGAAACTTAAAAAAGAATTTGGGTTTTTTGTTTGTTCACAAGGGGTTGATTGTAATTTCAATAGTCTTTTATGTTACTTTTGAATTTGATTCAAGTTTGGGTTTACTTTTGCATTTGAAATCAAACTGTGAGTCATATTTGTCAATTTTTCCTAATTTTTTAATAAAATTATTATTATATTTAAGAAGTAATTTTAAAAAATATAATTTTTAGATATTATTAGACAAATAAATAAATTATATTAAATTAGTTTTTAAACTTTATATATTCTAAATATAAATATTCTACCAAGTATTCTTAAGAAAACATTAAGGAACTTGATAATGCTCTACCAATTAAGCTCTGTGACACTCTGTTTATTTTCCATCATTCGAACACTGAAAAGTGAAATGATATATGAACTGGATCCATTAAATTCTAAATTTTGATCTATAATTCTAATTACAATTGTTTTGATCATACGTATAGATAATTATATAAAATTTCCAAAATTCCAAATACATATAAAAGCAATCATATGTAGATTTTAAATTTGTCAATAATAAAGTTCTATTTTAATTACATACACTCACTCTACGCAAGGCGCAAGTTTTATCCTAGTTTAATACTAATTAGATCTTGACCCGTACAACCGTGCATGTTTTCTTTTTATTTATAGTTTATAAAAAAATAATAAATAGATAACAATATGTTTACTTATAAAATCTTGAAAAATGTTAAAGTGATAGATGTTAAAATATCATTTTTAAACACAACATGAAAATATAAATTATCATTAAGATATAACATTAAATGTATAAAATATAACATTAAATGTAAATCATATATATAATTTTATAATAATAGCAAAGTTTTATAGTTATAGAATAAAAAATCTGTGGGGATCAAACTCTAGTATATAGTTTTTTTCCTTAGATTTTAGGAATATATAGTGCTATCTTGATAAAATTTAATTTCTTAAATAAAAATATTTGTATTTCAAATAAAAGATAAATATATGGAGTGATATTATAGTTAAATTATGTAAATTTCATAATTTTTTTAAAGAATGGTCCAAATACAAAAATTAAACATGAAATAACTCATGAATTATTTTAATATTATATATAGATAAATATATAATATTTTTTGTATATTTAAAATATAAATTCAGTATTTGTTTTTCAACATAATCTATTTTAATTTATTAAATAAGTATTTTCGAAATTTCAACAATTTATATTATTGTTCTTATTAAAATATAATTAGAAATATTTTACATAATTTAAAATTCATTTATAAATATGATAATAATTTTTAATAATAATTTATAATAATTAGAATTTAAATTCATTGATTTACAGAAATACAATTTAAAAAGATTTTAAAAAGATTTTGTTAGATTTATTTCATTTGTAGTCCAAATAGAAAGATAAAAATATTCAAAGATATTTTTTTTTTTTTGAAAAAGGCTTAAATATTCAAAGATATTACATTAAATTATGTAACATTTAATAATTTGATAATATTTCTAAGGAATAGCCTATTTTTTAAAAAGCCATACATGAATCAAAGCTATGAGATCTATTTTAATATATAAGATTCAATAGTCATGCTTCTTTGACCAAGTCTCATTTTTCGTGTTGGATTGGGTCATTGGATTTAGTATGAAATGCAGAGTCAAGGAGGAGTTCCACACATACGATAAATGCTTTTGAGGCCTTTTTGGTAAGAAAATCTCGTCACTTGAGTCAAATAATGATAGCAAGCAATAAATGAAAAATTCAAGAACACCAATTGTTTTAAAAGACTAAGATCAACTCATGTTCAAACAAATAAAAAGCACTAATTATGTTGTAATCTTTTTGCTCGGTCAAGATTGGAAGCAAGTCAAAGCGTTGAATCCAACATTACCCATAGAGTGATTGACATCATAATAAATTATCAAGTAGTGGACCACATGAACCGTGCTTATTATAAGTGCGCATATTAAACTCAACAGATCTCAAACTACGATTTAGAAGAAGAACATAAAAAACAAAGGCAAAGAGAGTAAGAGAAGATGGAGAAACAGTTGCATGAAACCGTGGAGACTGCTCACGTTGAACGAGGCATCCAAGAGTCGTCACCCGAGAAAAAGAAAGAAAAATCCCATAAACATAGAGGAATATTCCACCTCCACCATCACTCAAAAGATGAGAAGGAGGACGATAAGAAGAAAGAGGGATCAAAGAGAGAGAAGATAGCTGCAGCGATGGTTGGTATTGGAGCCACCCTCAAGAAGATTAAGCCTAAGGGCCACCATGGAGGCGGTGGAAACGAGGAAGAAGGAGGAGGAGAGGGGGAAGAAGAAGAAGAACAAGAGGAGGAAGAAGAAGAAGAAGGAGATGATGGTGGGGATGAAGAAGGGGGAGGCAAGTTTAGTGCTTTCATTTCCATGATCGCTGAAGCATTTGAAGAATAATATTCTATCATGTGGTCATCTTGTTTTATTTTGATTTGAACTTGCTATCACCTTTAACATTTGTTGTTTTTATTATTTCCAAAATATTTTAATGTGATGTTGAATTACAAAATGGAGAAAATTAGAGGTTGATTGTTTGTAGTTTTTAAAATGGTTTTTGGTTTTTGTTTTTGAAAAAATATTTATTTGCCAATCAAGATTTTGTAAAAAATGTTTACCTAAACACTAGGAAAACTAGTTTTTCAAATAACTATCTAGTTCTACACAAAAACCAAAATCTGTATTTTCTTAAATTTTAGACAACGTTGATCTTTTATTTATCTTTTTATTTTTTTTTCTTTTTAATGATTTTTCCTTTTATATTTATCACATGTGTGATGATCTTTTATTTATCTTTTTAATTTTTTTTCTTTTTAATGATTTTTCCTTTTATATTTATCACATGTGTATGGCTTTCCAGTCTCTTACGTTCCCCTTACCATCATTTTTTTACCATTTCACCTTACCATCATAATAATCAAATATTTTTTTATACTTTATTAATTTAAATAAGTGCCCCGTAAGTGATTATACATTCAGTTAGACTAATTATTTTTTATCCTAACACTCAAAAAATATTTGATCATATGTTCGCTTTGATTATGTAAACTTGCACTAGTAGTCAAACTATGCAATAAACTAATAAATGGAAATAATATTGCATTCCAAAAAAGTATTGATTATATTTTTTTATGTAAACTTGCACTAATAGCCCCGTAAGTGATTATACATTCAGTTAGACTAATTAAATTTTATCCTAACACTCAAAAAATATTTGATCATATGTTCGCTTTGATTATGTAAACTTGCACTAATAGTCAAACTATGCAATAAACTAATAAATGGAAATAATATTGCATTCCAAAAAAAATGAGATTTAAAAAATATATATATATATATATCAGAATGACAAATGATGGACAATCATATTCATGTAATTTTGAACATCATCTTCCACATTTTAATTATCAAAATATTGATATTTCACTATATAATAAGATTTTAATAAATATAGTAGAACCTCTATAAATTAATACTCGATAAATTAATAATTTTATCGGTCCTAACCTGGAACCGTTCAAAATTTGACACAAATTGATAATAAGATAATAATTTAAAATTTTTTTCTCTAAATAAATAGTCCCACTATAATTATTAATTAATATTCGATAAATTAATAATCTCTGTAAATTAATAAATTTTATCGGTCCTAACTTTGACCAGTTCAAAATTTGACACAAATCGATAATTAATAAGATAATATTTTTTTCCAAAATTTTATGTAAATATATGGTCTCATTAAAATTATAAATTAATAATTTATATGTATACATATTTCATATAATAAGAACATATCTTGATATTGTTTGTGTTATATTCACAAACAAAGTTTGTGTTACACATTTTTTTCCATAAATATCTTATTGAGAATTATTTAGATAACAATTTTAATATTTAAAATTATCCATTTTCATATTACTTTTTTTACGGTGACTGCTGATAGTTTTAAACTATACTATGTTCTGTCTCTTTTGTATTATTATGGTCGTTCGGTCTTCGAAAAAATTGGTTAGTTTGTATTTTATTTTGAGTCAACTTCCTCATATTAGTCCAGAAAATATATATAAAATAGGAATCTTTAATTTTAAAACTGCATATTCTATTAAAGAACATGAACAAACTATAGCATTACAAAATGAATTTGAAGAAATTAAATTACTATCTTCTAGGGCTTTAGAAAAATGTAGAAGAAAAAACTTTAATTATATTCATTTCGGATTAATACAAATAGAAATTAAAAATTTGTCTAGGACATGGATTGATTCTCCAATACTTATGTTACTAGGTTAAGATCTGCATCTTGCGCAGAATTAATAATTTATATACAAATTATATTTGTGTATCATTATTTATTTTATGAATTTTCTAATCATATGGTTTTATATTTATCAACATCTTTTATCAAAAAATATTTAACTATTAAAAATTGAATGCAAAAAAATTTAAATATCAAGTTCTCAGTATTTTTTCAAGGCAAATATCAAAATATATGTATGTATTTTATATACTATTTAATGTAATTTAAATGATATATATATATATATATATATATAAACATGTTAAATAAGACGTCTCACTCTATTTGTATCTTATTATAACAAAATTTTAAACCATTGATCACAAAAAAAATGAGTTAAAACTTTTTACAGTTTAGTAATTTACATCCGTATTAAAAATTCAAAATACAACATATACAAAAAAACTACATTTTATTAATAATTGTGTAATTTATCTTAATAACAAAGATTTAAACAAAAATGGTAAAGGGTATAAAATTGTTAACAAATATTTTATTATTGAAAGAATCCATTTTTTTTTATCAAAAGAAGACTCAAAAATAATATAAATAATATTCAAGTCAGTCGGTCATTTAACTCTTACAATTGTAAGGTCAGCGCCTCCCTATTATATTATGAGAATGGATATATTATGAGAATGGAGATATGAAAGAAATGCAAAGGTTAGTCTAGCACACTCCTGAATCCCATAGATGAATAAAGTCAGGGAATCTACATGTGTTAAGCACCATTTAAGAGAAGCTAGCGTCCGATTCCATGCTTCCCTATGCTATAGAATAGAATGACAATGTCTTTGCCTGTCTAGTTAATAAATCTCGAGCAATCAGATTTTTAGGCTAAAGTGCGGAGGGCTGTCGAGAGTATTCGAAGTTTACGATTCATGGGGGTGATCTTGTTGATGCTATTGAAATTGTTTCTGTGGTACTCTCAACTTCTCTCATGGATTAGGTAGATGAGACAGAAGGGGAGTAGGGGTCACTCCCCTACGCCCCTTTTGAATGCTCTGCTGCCCTACCCCTGTTCATGCATGTGATAGGAGTTCTTTCTTTGATTTCTAGTATGAGTGTGCCAAGGCATTCTTTCAAGTAGCAAGGAAAGAAGCTTACTATTCTTTCGTTCAAAGTTAGGGAATTTTCGTCAAGGAGCGAAGCCTGCTTGACCAACGGGAGAAGCCATGACATTGTAGGTGCTTGCGATGGGACGGATGCACTTCCCTCAGTTGGTTTGGGTGGCATAGCCAGCGCACCCAGATCTGCAGCCTCGCTTCCAACCAACTTCTCTCTAGCGGTGTAACAGGTGTTGGCACTTCGGTTGTTGCCAGTCCTGTCATTTCCTAGAATATGTGTTTTGACTATTAAATATCTCTCTGATGGCAGTGTGGAGAGATACAAAGCTCGTGTTGATTGGATAAGGAGTCAGTTGAAAGTGGTGAATAAGACCTGCAAATTCCCCTCTAAATGATTGCCTTTTTCATTTTCAATCTGTAAATTCATGAAGTCAAGCTGAAATAGTTGGAGTTAATTACCTTATAGCAGCTGTAATGATGTCATAATTTGCACCAATTTCTATCTATTTAGTGATTAGTCTGCTAGTTTCTTTGATCCTACTCGGTGTTCCTTTTACATTTGCTTCCAATAGTTCTGCCTACCCCCGGAAAGGCTCAGCGAAGGGAGGGAGCTGTGGCGGGGGAAGGAAAAGGCTAGGAGATCGCAGCCTGGTTTTATCTCTGGAAATGAGGGTGCCCTCGATTGCAATTTTTCATCGAATATGATGGATTCCCCCCATGGGTGAGAAGGTTGAGTTACAGACTACGTTGGCTTTCGCAAGAAAGCATCTCGAAAGTTCCGAAATCTGAATCCCCCTTATCTATTTCTGGGTAAATAAGTTGGTGACTGGATTTGAACCAATGACTCTCGCCGTATGAAAGCGATACTCTAACCGCTGAGTCAAGTAGGCCAAGCTGAGTCAAGTCAGAGAAAATAGACCTGACCTCGATACATCCGTCGTGTAAAACCATCATCTTTCAGGATTGGTCTTTCTATGTGAGGACCTCCCACCTATTCGGCAGGTCCAAGTTGTTTTGGTCTTATAAGCCAATATTATGCACTTTTTTTTTCAAAAATACGGAATTCACAACTAGAAAGGGAAAGGTTTCCGCTCCCCGTAGTCTTGAATGCGATGGTACGTTCAATCAGGTCAAACCGTTAGCAAAGCTTCGCGGTCATTGGAACCTTTGGTCCTTTTGACCTCAAATCTCTGATATTGGTGCAAATTCTGACATCATTACAGCCCACTTTGTTTTTTAGTTTTTTGGGGGTTGGTGATTCCGTGTATGGATGATCACCTTGAGCCACAAATTTAGTAACGTTTACAACTTTCGTACCAATTCGGTCGATCCGGAATGGATCGGTTAATCTTTCAGAATTTGAAGAGCAAGAAGCGGAACTACAAAAAAGCTTTCTTTATCTTTATGGATAACCAATCCATTTTCAGCCCCACCCCACTAGCTCTATCTTATAGCAGACAACTCAGGCCTTTTCTATTCTACGATCTGATCTTGTTTGTTGCCCGATTTGAAATCTCTCTTATAACTCCTTTTTGAAATCTCCCTTATAACTCCTTATGGGCACCTCAAGCATGAAACGGAGTTGAGCGGTAGGCATTCCTTTCCATTACAGTGGGAAAGTGGATGCGAGTCATAGAGTTCTTCCAGTAAGGTTTGAGGTCAGAGACCGGACATGCCAGCGAATCGAATAGCGTAGGAAGTCAACAAGTCTTAATGGTGGAAAGCTAGAAAGGGAAAAAAGCATTAGTTTCAAGTTGTTTACATACTCGACAAGTATTTGCGGTGAATCCCCATGTTAAGTAGTCAATCAATTCTCAGGAAAAGAGAAACTGTGGTGTAAACTCGAGAGGAATTCACCTTTGATTGTGTGGTTTTGTTTAAGCTGCTGCACTTTCTAATCCGCTACGAAAGGAGAACAGAGAGTGCTCCGTGGGGGAATCTCGAAGATCAAAGATTAGTATGAAACTTCCACAAATTCTGCTGCGGAAAACCACATTCTGATGGGAGTCCCACTTCGGGATATATTACCGAATATG